ATTCGGTTAGTCGGTTGAATGAAACTCTGTCCAAAATTTTTAAACTATAGCGTCTTCATTTTAATTATTGACATTATGATCATTTTAATACTAACTTATAGTAGCTTATAATTTAATAATAAATATAAATAATATGAAATATATAGAATAACAACAAGCTATTATTATTTCGATATTTATAGAAATAATTCGATGGGATAAAAATTGTATTAATTATATAAATAATCGTTAAAATTGGTTTAACACGCATATATAATATTAATACTGTAATTAATATGATATTAAATTTGTAAGAATATTTAATATAAGAAATTCTACTATCTTATAAATTTCCTTCAGCATGAGATTCAATCAATATTATAGTAATAATTTATAAAGGTATTTAAATTATAAATGTACATATAGTAAAATATGTAGTTAAAATACATATGGTAAAAAAATTGATTTAAACGTGCTTTTTTATGGAAAATTTTGTTAAAATAGTTTCACAATATTTTAACAATCGTTGCAAACAATTTTTTTTTTTTTTTTTTTTTTTATAAATGTATAAAATTCATAAATAACAATTTTTAATAAATTATAAATGTTTAAAAGAAATAAAATTACTTTTAGACAGATTTATATCTGGTTTACGTATTAAATAATTAAACTTTAGAATGTTTCATACCTATAATTCTTTATTCTGCTGATTTTCCAATTAAATCGCTACCTCGAATGAAACTTAATTTACTACAAATTTAGATAAATTTTTAAAACATTCAATCAAAATAATTAATAAATTCACTTTAAAGCTTTATTTTATAAAATAGCAGAAAGCAATTTAGTGAAGTAAAGTTTAAATATATAATCAAGCTCCTATTGTATTTTATTAATTTTTTAATTAGTAAAAAGTACTAATAGTATATTGATTAGTTGGGCTTTTGATTGTTTGATGATTTATTGCTTGCATTTGTGCAACTGGTGCAATTACAGATATTATAAGCATATATTGAAATCGATTAATTACAACGCAATTAAAAATAATATTATCTTCGGAAGGGAAAGAATTAGTCGTCAGTCATATTGCTGATTGAACCATTATTAATACTTTTTACTGTTTCTACATATGTATAAATATATAAATATAAACTATTGATAAAATGGGTTTGTAAATAGTATACTTTATAATTACGTATATGTTATAATTTTATATATAATCGTTTATTATAATCGTATAATATTATTTTAACCAATCAACCGCGTTCAAATAAAATAAAACAACATTTCTTATTAAACAATTTGTAAAAATATAATATTTTTATTTTTTAACTGCACTTTATAGATACGAATGTTTTTGTAATGAATAAATTGTGCAAAAAAACTAGAATACATAAAATAAATATAATTATAATTTTAATATTCATGATTTTAGACAGTTATAAGCTCTTGATGTCAAGTAAAAGTTTTAAATTAAATTTATCTGAATAAATTATGACTAATATTAAAAATTAAATAGAGTTCTTTAACAGACTTTTATACAACTCAAGAAATACCAATTACAAATATTAGTTAAGATGTTCAATATAAAGTCAATATTTAAAAATGATGTGCAGAATTCAAATTATATTTATAAAATTTCAAAAATTATGTGCCTTAGTAGTATAATATATAAATTATATATTTTGATAAGTTAAAAGATCTAAGGTTTATGTTAAATGTTAAAATTTTTTAACTTAAATAATTTATAAATATCTAGGTATATATATATATATATATATATATATATATATTTATTATAATGTTCTAATTAATTATTATATTATAATTTATTTATATTTTTAGAATAGAATAATTGTAAAATCATTAATCCATATTAGACAATGGGTTTTTTTTTAAATATATTTTCTGATTATTGTTTATTGTAAATTTTTACAATACCGATTTTTTAAAAATTTATGATATTCACAAATTAAGTAAGAATATTTATATCTTCTGGATTTATAATAATACATAATATAGGAATTTATTTTATTCAATTATCAGTATATAGTTTAGAACTTATTCATTTAGAGAATATTTTATTCATTCAATTCATTTTATATAATACATATAATTAATTTCTATATAAAATATATATTAATAAACATATATTTATAATTGGGATGAACATAATATTCATAATAAAATGTAATTAGAAATACATTATCAAAGGTCTTTTAAATATAATGATAAATTTTTATATGCATACGATTGTTTATATAACTTTAAAATATATAAAAATATTTCTGCCTATTTGGTTATTAGAATTTTTTGATATTTCAATATCAATATTAAGAAAAAAAAATACAGATTTAATAATAACTAATATGAAAGAATTAAGAATTCTTAAAACAAACAGGTTACGATATAAATTTTCATGGAAAGGATAGTTTTTCTTAAACCACATTGAAAATTCATGAATGAAATGCATTCAGAACTCTGTGTAAAGAAAATACTCTTATATTCAAAAAAGCAGAAAAAAAGATGTTGAGAATGAAATGAGGTATAATAATAAGTAAAATATATCTACTATATTATATAATATATATATATATATAATTAAAATTTTTTCGATATAATATAAAACATATTTTCAATTAATGTAGCTGTTACGAAACTTATATAAGTGAATAGAATGTCATTTAATTAGTGAAAAGCATATTTTACCTAAAATGTATTCAAATTTTTATCAATTTAAATATTTATTAATTTAAATTGTAGTTCCATATAATAATATATCATACATAGTTCGTTATGATAAATTAACTTATTAGTAATGAGTGCGAAATCAGTTTTATTAGCAGAGTAGGAGTATTATTTTAATTTATTTTAGTCTAAATATTTCATTTATAATTACATTTGTATTTATTTCTGCTAAAAATGAAAAGATGGAATATTATATTGTTGTTGAAAAATTTTAAGTAATATCTGAATAATGTTTATATTTATTGTATAAATATGAATTACATTTATATGTAAAAACATAATTTATAATAAATTTGCAGTATTTCATTCTCTACTTTTATCATTGTCATAGAAAATTATCTTTAACAGATACGCAGTATCTTACTATTTATATTTGACTATTACATTCAATTTTTTGCAATTATATTTGAATTTATAATGAAATGACAGTTATAAAATTTAAAAATCATTTTCATACTAAATTGTTCACTAAAAAATGTAGTTTTTTTTTTCATAAAATTAAAAAGTTATATTCAAATCAAAAATGGGAACATACAAAATGCCATGTTTTTATATTATTTACAAATGCATAAACGTTCAGAATAATCCATTTTGTAGTCTAAAGAAAACAATACGCAGCATAATAATAATTAATAATAATTCGTTATATGTAAATATTATTGGCATTTTTATCTTCACGTGTGCTTATAATTTGTACGGATATATATTAAGAATAATTTATATTTATTAATGATTTTTTTTTTTACAATAATCGTCATTCATCTATATCACAGAAAAAAATTCCCGATAATCTTTTATGATTTTTATATCTTGCATTAAAAAAGAAAAGATAAATTTTGAAAAAAAGTATTGCTCAAATATTTGTAATAGCAAATGTAAATAAATATTTATTTTAATAATCACATTTTCAAATGATTATATTACAATTTTTATTTTTTAGAATATATGTTTAAATAAAACATGTATTTTTGTTTTCTTAGTATACATAAAAAGTGATTTAAGAATAAATTTGTTTATAAGAAATAGTTTTTAAAAAATTAGAAAGTAGTTTATTATAGACTTTATTTACGTAATAAAGATTTGATAAATCTAAAAATAATACTGGATAGTTGAAGTGAATTATGGCGCGCTATTTTTACTTTTCATCACTGAAACTTGATTAATACTCTACTTTTCCACCTTCCACTACCTTTCATATATGACAAAATCGATTACACTTAACGAATGTAGATATTATTAAAATTTTTAAATATCTAGATGATAAAATATAACTATTGTTTAAACTTTTAATTTACAATATGTTAAATTTTTTAAATATAAATTTAAACATAGATTAAATGCGATATAATAGAAGTAGTGTGTTACCATTGATTCCATAATATATTTTTACGAATATCATATTATAACAGTATTCAAACTATATCATACATTACTATAAATTACACGTATAGAAAAATGATTTATACAAGCAATTATTAAAAAAAATGCCGGATAAACAAGTGACATATCTGAAAAATTTTCATAGTTATGTACTTGATTTATAAGTCAAAATATAAATTTTCTTACTTGAACAGTTCTATTCAGTTTAAAATTATAAAAAAAAATTTTATAAATAGATTTAAATTTTATATTAAAATTTATTTTAATTAATATTTATATTAAATTAATTGTTATCCGCATTTAAGTCTCTGATTCATTTGGAGTAATTGATTTTAAATACATCTAACTATTTAATATTAATAAATAAATTACAAAATGAGTTATACAATCATATGAAAATTTTCTGCAATATAAATTATAAGAAAACAGTGTTTGCGTTTTAACGACAATTTATCTAATAAAAAATACATTCTCCTACCAATAAATCGGATAGAAATATTTTTTTCAACGATTTAAATTATATGAAAGAAAAAAAAGAAAAAAATTTCAACGCAACTGTCAATCGAATGAAAAAGCTGCCATCTACCGTAGGTTATTTACTCTTATATTAAGAGCGAAAGAGAGAGAAGGAGAGAGAGAGAGAGCCTTGTACCTGGTAAAATCGATAAGGATCACAACAAAAGCAACGATGCTCAATATATGTGGAGTCGTATAGATATGGACATACATCCCGTGTTGAAATATTGCTACGCAGAACTAAAAACTAAAAGAACGCGTAGTAGTGTGGATAATAGTCCGCGTGAAGGCGCTGTACCTCCACTTTTCCAATATGGCTACTTCTTACTGACAAGCCAGCAGTTCTGCGCATTCTGACATCCTGCGATTCTACACTGTAGCTGTCTTTCTTTTATCTTTCTTACATCTCAAAGTGAGTAAACCAAACGGTGTGTTTTAACGTTCATTAAATAATCTTGGCCATTGAAAGGACGAAGTTCAAATTCTTGTAAAATTGGGTGTGCTTGACCGAGTGCCGGCACTCGCAAATCGTCGTTTTCATATAAACGATCAATAGGGATGTGAACTTTAAGGGGTGGTTGAATATTTCCCTCGATCACCTCTTTCATTTCGGCCTTTGCTCTTTCATTCTTGTTAGACTATTTAATATATGTTTGAATTTGTAAATCTGCGTCTTGTCTTTCTTTTCTATAGAAAATTTTTAAAAATTCTTCAGATCCTTTAGTAATTTCCATCATATTCTACTGGGTCTAATAAGTCGAAACATTTCGTATTAATTTTTTAATAATTTATGTATGTCGAGAAGGTAATTACAATTATTCTCGTGTTTTATATCTTAATTTTTATTTTATTCTTAAATACCAAACAATTCTCGAAATACAAGTTTACATAATCCAATTATACGTCAAATTTAATTTTAAAAAATTTATCATTAAATTCTTAGTATAATATTTCATTTTTAGCTTATGATATATAGAACTTTAAATTATTGTGCCAATTTAGGATATGTAAAATATCGAATATATGTCTTTTGTTTTCTTCAAAACCTTACGTAATAATAATTTTCAACTTTGTATGATTATACGCATTACTGTCATGATTACTTATGAAATTCCAATATGTTCTATGTACGGAAAATTAATTATTGGATATCTTATTGATAATATTATTCAATAATTTAATATTTTAGCGATTGTAGTGTACTTATTTATCATAATATTTCAAAGTACATTTGTTCAATGATCTAAGCAATTATCTAAAAAAATAATTTGTTTCGAATTATGACAATAAAAAGTATTATTTTCATATATTTTAATACGTGATGTTCCAATTTTTAGTTGTATTTATTTTGTTGACATATTATAACAGCAGTATTAAACAAATTAGATAAAGCCGCCATTTCAATGGCAGATTATTTTAATTGTATTTAAATACTTTTAAAAATAAAATTGAAATGAAATTTGGACAATAAATAATATTTCATATTTTTCGAGATCATTTGATTTAATTTCTTCATTTGTATGATTAGCACTTATCGATAAAAAGCTTATCGCGATTGTAAAATATTGCAATTACAATGAATAAAGTACGGTGAAAGTAGTAAGAAAACGTAAGAAAATTAATACATGCGCTTGTACAAAATGTTTATTTTATTATTTTCTATAAATGCAATATTTTATAAATCGCGTTCTGAAATAGCTTAATAAATTGTAATTATTAGAGAAGAAAATGGAAATGTAGATGTTTGATTTCCACCGATAGAGTAAGTTCAAAACACCTATTATCTACTAAATAGAATAGTATTAATTGCTCTTAAATTTTCTTACGTATTACGCGATAGTATTATATTATTATAAATAAAAATTAATGACAATTTATAATAAATGTAACTGCTATAAACTCAAATTAAATAAATATATTTTTTAATAAAATGTAAATTACAAATATCGTCATAATTATTTAAGTAAATATATATATATATATTTATACTACTTTGATTTATAGGATTAATATACTTTTTATTACGATTGAAGTTTAATTATGTAAAATTTCAATTATATAAGATAGAATTAAGCAAAAAAACATGTACAATGTACATGTACATATACGCACAACCATACACATATGATTATGCATACATACTTATATATATATATATATATATATATATATATATATGTCGGAATTTATATATTTTAACGTTAATATTTTACTGAGGAAATATTTGACATTTTTTTTATCCATTTTATTTATCTCAGAATAAATTAAATTTCATTGTAGATTTATTAATCTAAAATATGGACCGGAATTTATAATTTTTAAGAACCAAAATAGAATATCTATCTTGAAATATGAATATGTCTAATTTTTATGGCAAATAAATTAAGCAGAAAGTATTGCACCAACGACAACTGCTCTATCAGTTAATTGGCTGGTGATCATTGTAATTCAATAAACTTGTAAAATACCAGGGAATATCAATGAAAATTGTCGAAGTATCAATATGTTTTAATATGAAAATTGAGCGTGCAGTATTAATATCTTTAATTTATAAAATATTTCATAAATTTTATATTAGCTAAGTGCCATTTTATGATATTATTCATAATTTCAAAATGTAGTAATAATATTTTTAAATATACATTATAATAAAGTTATAATAAAATGAATAAAATATACAAAAGGATAAAAGCAATTATCGTCTGATGTGTATATTATGTTATAATTTTAATGAAAGTAATAACTGAATAAAATTTCTCTTTATAAAGAAATGAATTCAAAAAAATTTTAACTAGATATTTATTTTGAAAAGTACAAAAATTTGAATTAATTTTATTAAGAGTATTAAATATTTATGACATATAAGAAATTACCAACGCAAATAAATAATAATGTCAGAACATTAAATAACTGTACTACTTACTCGGGTTGGTTTAAAAAAAAAAAAAAAAAATTTATTAAATATATGCTAGTCATTTGTAATTATCTAATTAAGCATATTTTCTTGAAGGATTCGGATTTTTCTTTTGAAATGCGGTTATTTTATGTCAATATTTAATACGGTATTTGTTTTAAAGTTTTTGAGCTCAAATCATTTGTAATAGAAAGTTCCAACACATTGTCATACTAATAACTGTCTCAGTATTCTTAGTTGAAAAAATATTATCATAATCAAAATTATTATCCTTTTAATAAAATGAATTGTTGACAAATTTTCTTATACACAAAATTCTTATCTGTTTTTTAGAATGAATTAATGTTTATAAACACTATTAAAAAGTCTACAAAAATACTAATAAATAGATTTATATTTATATAAAAATATAAAAACATAGTAATTGTAAATGTTCAAAATAATTTTATCACCTTATCACAAATGCTTATCGTTAGAAATAGATTGATAATTATTATTCAACATTATAACAATATCTACAGTTTTGAGCATTCAATCGAATATTTAAGTCTAATATATTATCTTCGATTATATAATGTTGAGAATTATATTAACTGTCTATTTTTATGATATAAAACAGTAAAAATTACAATATTTATACTGTAAAACTATTTATTCTTTTGCAATAATATTGATTATGAATTAGGTGGATATTACAAAACCAAAATGTCAAAAAAATAAATAAAACGTAGCAAATAATACCGAATAATACAAAGATTGATAGAAACGTTGAATTATTATAAACTTTATAAATGTCTGCGATATAATCAAACTGAAATTTGTTTTTAAATTATTTTTATAAGAAGAAACATATCTTTCTAATTTCATCTCTCAATATTTTTCATCTTTGTGACAATGGGCAACTTAATTTTTATGATATATATTAAAAAACACAGTGAAAATAATAAGTTTTATTCCAATATTGATCTATTTAAATTTTTAATGTTGCGATTGAATTAAAGTCTACGATAATATAATGTTTTTAAATTCTCTACAAAGGAATTCCTTTCTCAGGCTACATGGTTTTGGTCAATAAATTTAATACTATTCACACATTTCAATAATGAATGGAGGATAAAGTTCTATAAAAACATTGACTACAGGATAATCTTTATTGGTTCATTAAACAGATGCTCTAATAAATATAACAAGAAACAAAATGGCCAATAATATGGTGATAAATTGCCAAATCAAATAATACATTAAAAAAACTGAGTATTTGACATCTTAAATTACAGTTGCACGTGTTTTTTATTCTTGAGGTATCGGGTTATCATCATCACAGATTTGTATTTTTAAAATTTTGTAATCTTGTAAATCGTGGCAGTCAGTTAGAGCTGAGCATGGGACTTTAAAAAAATGATTCAGCAAAATAATAATTCCGTACGGAATAGTTGAAATAGTTCAAATTTTATCACACTCAAATATTTTTATTATATTATATGAGAATATTATTCAACATTATAAAAAAATTCTTATATTAGTTGATTATAATAATTATTATTAATTACTTGTTATATAAAATTTTATGAAGAATTTTCATTAAACCAGCTAAAATAATAATAAGTTTGTAAAAAAAAAAAAAAAAAAAAAAAAAAATGTTCATACATTTAGTCGTTAACTGGTTTTGAATTTTTAAGTATTTATAACTATTATTATCTTGATTATGTTAATTAATATTTTGCTCCATTATTCTATTATATTGTACTTTGGATTTAATATTTCACTTAAATATAATATAATAGTTTGAGTTTGTATGCGATTTTAATAATAATTCTATTATATTTGATTTCAAATATTTGGTGAATAATTTTGAAATTTAATTTTGACGAATGATAAGATGTAACGAATACAAGGTAATTATAAATCAGCGTAATTACACAATCATTCTTTATAAATAATTATACTAGAGTGTCCTTATTAATCATCAGACTAAAACTTTTTAAAATATTTTCTTATTAATTTCTACATGATTGCGTAACAGTAATGCAATAGGATAGAATTATTGTTGCGCAAAACAAATTTAACAATATTCTTCGAATTAACGATGAAAAGAGATGAAGAAAAAAAAACATAAACAGTAGGGTATGAGCAAATTAGTAGAAATAATAATGGAAATACTGAACGTAATGGTGAAAAGGGAAGAGTAATAAGGTGAATGATAGGTGAGCGTTAAAAAAACAAAGGAAAGATAAGGAATGCAGGAGAAGCGGCAAGTTATGTAAGAGATTGAAGAAATGAGCCAGCCGAGAAGCTAAACTAGAACAAATGTCGACTCTGCCGAGAGTAATATAGAGGGGAAATTGTGGATGGAAGGTCAGGATGAGCACAGTCCGTCGAGAGTTGCACTTAACGAGGGTTAGTGACACGAGTCGGCTGGGGGTCACCGCGCGAGTCCACATTGCTCATTTTTAGCGAATCATGGAATGATCCTAACGAAATTTGACGGTCGTATTGCAGATTCTAATCGACGATACTGTTATGCGACGAAATATCTTTCACTGTGCTATATTAGTGGGATGACATTTTCAGTTGCGTATGTACAATTTGGGTTTCGATTAATGAAACTTATTACTTTGAGCAGCTGGAAGTATTGGGCAGTTTGATTAATTTTATTTTAAATTTGACATTATTTCAACACTTTCTCGATTCTCTTTCGGTAAATTAACTAATTATAGCTTCGAGTCATCGATTAATTCATTTGACGAGAGTATTAGTTATTTTGCAATAAAATACGCTGATTGACGGGAGATAATTTTAAAATGTGAAATGAAATATGGTGTATATACTCATATTTATATTTATAATTTTAGAATTTCGGTTAATAAACATTACAATTTATGAAAAAAGAGCTCATAATTTTATGAACGTGTATGAATTTGTAATTTCGAAATGTATTATATTAATTATCTCGTTAATACATACATAGTACTTTCATTACAAACATTTTCTCATACTCTGATAATCTTATAATTGAAAATAACTCCATTCTATATTGCTTGATCTTCTAACAATATTATTAATAAAAATTATTTGATATTCTAAACATTTTATTTTAAGAAAAAATACTATATTCGGCAATACTAATATTAAATACAAATGACAAAAAAATTCAAGTGTTAAAAAGTATTGTAAAAATTCAATATAGGAAAAAAAACTAAAGGTATTGTTGATTCTATTTAAATTAAAAGAAAAAACCTAATTTACATTATTAATATTGACAAAAAATAAAAAAAATAAAAAAAAAAAAATACTTTTATACAAATAAATTATGCATGTTTAAAAGAACTTTTATCAATGTAATTATTTAGTATTAATAATTTTGAAACAAAATGGATTTTTGTTAGTATAGGAAAATTTATTCTAAATTTATTTTACTTGCATAAACAATATTTTTCAAATAATAATAATTTATCTATAAAATGTATTTTTAATCTTTATTATTTAATAAATCAGTATATTTGTACGAAAAATGTTTGGCACATTAAATTCAATGCTGATAAATTTAGAAATTTTTTTTATCACTTATGACAAATCAATTAATTCTTTCATTCGTTGATTTTATATTATTGGATAATTTATTATTGAATAATTTTATTACTCTTCGATAAAAATCGCTACCGAAAAACGTTAAAGTTATAATTTTATAATTTTTTAAATTGTCTCTTAAATTTTCATTTCATTGTAACACTTATTTCAAGTAATTTGGTTTTTATATGCTTACTATAAATCAATTAAAATCAACAAAAAATCGGAGACACGAAGTATTAATGCATAAATGTGCTTCGACTCACTTCCTATAATTGAAAGGCTAAGATATAAAGATATATGTCATATGCTAATAATTATATTAGAAATGCATAAGAGTATCAATAACAGACTCGAATATGTCCTGCCTCGACTTGGTTATATAATATAATGTCAAAATACAATATCAATACCATTATGATATATATATATATATATATATATATATATGAATAGCATTTTAACAATTAAATAATTTAATTTTTTTGAATTTATTAAAATATTAATTTAACAGTTTTATGTTTTTAATCGATTGTAAAAAAGTTTTAATCGCTATTTGTTCCTAATGTTCTTTGAATTTTATGAAGAAAATAATTCAAAACGAAATTGTTAATTTACATTTAGCTTTCGTATATGATATTTAAAATTTTTCACTAGCAATATACAAGAATTTATAACGTATACAAAAATATAGTGCTTATTAGAATTTATGTATGCTATTACTAATTTACATTCATGAATTGGCACGTACACTTCAAAAATGTTTCAACATACAGAGATACGTATCTGTTGAATGTTTAATACATTATAAATTTTAAGCTTTTAATAGTAATTGAGTACCGAGTTTCATAAGAAAAGGCTTTTGTCTCACAACTAATTAACTCGAATAAAATTGATTAATTAATTAATAAATGAAGGAGGATCGGCTACACATAATAATACAAGTATTTAATACTTTGAATTTTTAAACTAAGGAAGTTCTTTAAGAATTTCAAGAATGAAAAATTTTCTTATACTGGATAATGATGAAAAATACGATTAAACCATAATAACATAATTTATAAATTTCAGTCAAAGTTTGGTATGTGTTCTGCTCATACCGGTATACATATATAATATAATTTTAATCGGAATTATTCATCAATGAACACGTTTAGCTACCCGTGTAATTTGAATTTTATTTTTATTTGCTTCTATCGAATAGTTTAGCGGCAATCAAAAGGTCAAAATTTCTATTGCATAGTCGAATAATATACCGGAAAATATTAGCCGTGACATAGTAAATTCGCTTACTGGGTCAACGTATACACACGGAAAGAGACAGAGAGACAGAGAGACAGAGAGACAGAGAGAGAGAGAGAGAGAGAGAAAGAGAGAGAGAGAAAGAGAGAGAAAGCAAAGAGACAAAGAAACAGTGGAAGCAAACGAGAAAATAGATTTATCGGACAAAGAAGAGACTAGTTTTATTATTTCCAGGACGACGACTATCGTCGCTACGTGCGCTAGATGATCTTGAATAATAGCAAAACTATGTGCTTATGTATATGAGCATAAGTTTCTTTAATTCGATATACAAAGATTCTTAACGAGTAGTTCAAATATTTATTTATCGACATTTTATATTGGTTTATAAAAGATTATGACCGATTAAATACAAACGAGAAATTAAAAATCCTTAAATTTAAGAATTCGAATTCGGCAATAACATTATACATTCAATTATTTATCATTCGTTAACTTAATCTTAAATTAGTAGCAATTTTTTAATTTAAATTATAATATCCAAGTCTTTTTAAGAATTACGCATAATTTATGTTTATTTATTTTGAATCGTTTTACAGCGCGCGCATTTATTTGTCATTTCATTTTTAATTAATGTTCTTACGTCTAAATATTGTTTTTTTATAATTGTCATTATATATTGTTATTGAATGTGAGTGAATACGAATAATCTTGGTCTATCCACCTTCATCACACTAAAACACATAATTGTTAATATAACTGTATATAACATACAAATAGACGAATAGAATAGTCTAATAAACACGAAATAAAATCTTACTTTCTACTAACGATACCTTTTCTCCCAAGGACAAACATAATATGGTAACATAACAAGCAAGATTATTCTCTAGGCAACTCTATCCAGCTCATCGATTCGTTCTCACGATTTCGATAATTAAACTTGCCGATTAATCCAACTATCGTGAGATATTTAATAGATAATAGGAACGCAGGTTGAGTGGGTGTGATGACATCGGTGCCTCCAAACCATAATGCATCGATATATTGTAAAGATATGGCGAACGGCCTCTGTCTCACAGGTGCTCGAATAAAGATTCCAAGCTGGCGCCGTTCAAGCTTCGCTTCTCCAAGACGTCCAAGTCGCGTAGCAGCGACAGCCAGGGCAGTCGCGGCAGCAGCCTCGACGTCGAGGACATAACGGGCCCGGAAATGACGGAGCATCGCTCGGAATTGGGACAACTGGCGATCGGCAGCTCCGAGAGCTTCGCCAGCGGTGAGTGCGCGAGGATGACGGCCGACGTCGGCAGTGCCGTCAGTGTCAACACGAGCTCAACCGTGCCGGCCTCGTCGCCTCCGCCATCTTACGAGCGCGTCCTTGAGGAAGTACGTGAAACGCGGGTTCGAATGCACATTTCATTCTTTACTTTTCTCTCAATGCTCGTTGTTTTTATATGGCTTTTGCGTGTCTGGGCATTAGCGATTCCTCCGCTCGTCATGTGCGGACGAATTTGTCGATAAATTAGAAATATCTGGAGGAGCTACGTAATGCAATTTTTGAGATTTTCTGCGTATTAAATATCCAATTGTGAATTGCGTGCGGCATTATCAATCGAGCCTAACTAAATAACGGAGAAAGCACGAAAAGTCAGAGGAGCTTGAGAAACCGAATTTTCAATTCACAATTCCATCAGTTTAATCGATCTTATGTATTAAATTAAGGCACGTGGAGTCGAATTATTTTTCGCTCATTCATTCATTAGCCAATAATTGTAAGTTAATTGAAATGCGAATAAAACAATATTAAAGGCGAAATTAAGCTCGATGTTTCTTGTAAGGGAATTAGTTGGTTTAAGATAGTTTTAACGCTTAGTAGTTGAGCGAGTTCTTATGGCAATTATAAAATAAAATATCCAAAGCCTTTCCCAGATTTATTTGTTTAATTGCTTAATTTCTCTACGTACATTTTAATTTTTGGATCTTATAGACGAGACTCGCTAAATCAATGACGAATGACGAGGAGGCGATCGAGGAGAGTGCCGATGAAAGCGAGACCGTGAAAAATCAAGCGGGACCTCCGATGAAAAAGGGTCCTGAAATATTATACAAATCCAGCAAAGATTTTTATAGAGCAATGGCCAAACAGTGGGGCATCACCTGCAAAATGAGCGATAATTGCAGATGTCTTGATTGTCAGGTAACGACAAGTCTTTTATCCGACTATTATTCCTTAAATTCTGTAAGTTTGACAAACATTTCAACTACATTGGTATTGATAATATCTTCAACGCTTTCTTTAAAATTAAAACAAATTCTACGATAAACTTAATCTTGTAGTAATCTTGTAGTGTTATTGTTGAAGAATTTAGGGAATATATGTTATGCGGCTACGATGCCAAAATGTTATTCCCAGTTAATTATAATTCATTTCAGAAGTGAAAAATACTAAACGACTTTAATTCGAAATTTCGTTTATTTGAAAATCAATATAATTGACAGGAAGAAAATTCAAATTAATTTTAAATCTTTTTTACCAAAATAACCCACAGCTAATGATGTAATAATTTCTAAAGAAAGTAACATTTAAATTTTAAATCAATTAAATTTGCATCTCGCTTTTTAGTTTTATACGCACATATATTTACATGAATAATAATAGTATTTATCATATCGTAACTGATATCCTTAAAGCTTAAATGTCGATTATTTTAAAAATATTAATTATTCTTACTTAATTAGTAAGTTTCTAATCCGTCCAATGCTAGTGTACGAACTTGTAAGAAAAGGTACACGAGCTTAATAGGCTCAAGCGTCACCTACATACGACATTTTAAATCAGCGATATTATAATAATTTTACAGAGTCGTTATTTTGACTGTGGCTACGAAAAGTACCAAGATTACGAAAAGTACCACGAGCAGTCAGATGGCGGTTTAAGCGCCAGCACACCAATGTTCGTCTCCGAGGTGATGCACGGCTCTGCCTGTCTCCTTCTTTAAGACCAAGTCATTGCCAAGGATAATACGCCCTAAGGATAATAACGTCCTAAAATGCATTGATTGGCCTCATGAGTAAGTTGGGCGTGGGTGAAGGAGGAGGAGGAGGAGGAGGAGGAGGAGGAGGGGGGGGGGATAGTCGGAACACATTCGCTCTTCCATTACTGCGTGAAAAAGCGACTTACAACAGTCAACAAGATGAATCATAATGGAATACTTCGTTTTTTCTTTATACAGCTTTACGATGCCGATTTTCTTTTTTCGTGGAATGAGCGATCAAGCATTAAACGACCAACAGCCGGCCTTTTTCCCAATGCAAGAAGTTTTGTATAATATAAAAGCAAATTCAGCGCGCGCTAAGACCAGGTCGGAAACGATAACAATTTTCGTGCTTTGGAGATGTATTATTCAATTAAAATTTGTGAAACATAATTCATGAAACCTGGTTCAGCTGTAGGCTGATTATATACGTATCTTCGATCTCATCTAAATGTATTAACACAATTGAAGGTGCAAAATATTTTTTCATAATATTCGCGTGATTTTATAATACTAAAGCAATTACCATTTCGTGTCTGAATACACTTATTTTTTAATCTAATAAATTCAATGCACAATTAGTCATAATTCCTACAAATAATCTTCATCAAATTAACCTTGTTAATCAAGATATTGTATCTTCTTTAGATACAGTACAGTACTATTTTTGCATCTACATTGAAAAGAGATATTTTAGATATGCCGTAAGCCTATTAAACATCAAAACATTTCAAAGCATAAAATGAAATCACTAGTTATATTGTCAAATAAAAAATTGTTATACATTTTTATGTCGCCATTAATGTTCGGATTGTAAAAGTTAATGTGTCCTTATATTAAATGTTATTTTTCCAAATAATTATAAAAACAATTTAGTAAAATATCAGATATGTTAGAAATTGTATAAGAATATTCTGTCAAAAAATTTTTTTTGTTTTTAAATGGATCTTGATGGACATGCGTCTGTGTGAGCAATTAGAACAATTTCTGCCGATACCTAATCCATTCAGGGATTATGATTCCTTTGTCATACTAAAGTTGCATTCGTTTATGACAAATTGAAATAGTAAAATGAAGTTTCAGTTATTCATGCAAAATGTGTTATTTAATATTGAACGATCGAGAAACAAAGTAGCATCAGTGCCTGCATAATTGGCATGTCTCTTATTTAAAGACAACTTACTTAGAATTAAATCAACTCGAGGAATGCAATACTTAAAGAAAAACAAAAACAAAAACAAAAACAAAAACAAAAAAACAAAAAAAAAACAAAAAAAAAACAATAATCGAGATATAAATGTTTCTTTGAGATGAAGACTAGAAAAATTATTTTTTACAATTTTCAGATGACAAAAGGAAAAAAATTGCAAAATAAAAAAATGATTTTTGATCGAACATTTCATTTAAAATATCAAGAAGCGTTATTCTATTCTTTGTATATTAAAAAAAAATTAATGTTATTTTTTATATGAAATTAAATAAATAATAACAATTTTCATAGTGACTTCGATATGAATTTATATGACGTTTGTAAGATGAAAAAAAGAAAATGAAACAACGCTAGCAGTCAAATAAATGTAGACTGTTCTAACTAAATAACGATATTCAGCACTACGTTGTTGCATTTCGTACATCTTAGCAAAATAAAATGAAATAAAATAAACAAAATAATTGTATAATATTTAATATGTGTATAATATTTCTAATAATAATTAATAAGCTAATATGTGAAGTTCTTTCGAAGCGCAAAAGTAATGATAGATAATGTAGGAATAAATTAATGCCATATATATATATATATATATGTATTATAGGAATTCACTCGAGTACGTAAAATAAAAATTTGTGACTTAGACATTACGATAAACATAGAATGGAGAGAAAAATAAGTACGAATTGTATTCAAAACGCATAATTTATTAATATTACACTGATTTAATATGAAGCATTTGTATGTGCAAAAAATTAACTATAATTCACAGTCAATTACATGTACGCAATTGACTTTTATAGAGAAAAAAAAAGTAACAATATGACCTATTTTATCAAGTAGAAACAATTAAAAAAGGTAAAATTCTATTAAAATAAATTTTAAATTACAACGCGAAATCTCAGAATCTCGCGCTTGAAACAAATGAAAGTAAATCATTGACGAGTATAAAAGTCGCGAATTATCTTTATAAAATAAGAAATCGCGTTACTTTAATGATTATACTCTGTACTTGTACCAGCGCACATTTATGTTAATTAACTTGATGAAATAAACTTCTACTACTAAATTTTAGGTGGTAACCATAAGGCGTCTGATATTTTATAAATTTACTAATCCATAAAAGTAAATAAAATATTTGTAGAAAATTTAGGCAGTATTAAATCTTTTTTATTTTATTTTTTTATTTTTTTTTTGTTTTTGTTTTTTTTTTTGTTCTTTTTTTTATTTTATAATAAGCCACTATGTAAGAACATGAAACAGTTTTAAGTAAATTTAAAGAATATTTCCATATTCCGTGATTTAATTTTTTCCTATTTTATAGATTAAAGTTTTGTCTTCATGGCACTAATTTACTAGCGTAATGTAGATTACGATATGCAACTAGAACAATGTTTTAATAGTGCTTGTATTTGATAACTGTTTTATTTGGATACGTATTGTAAAAATATATTTTTTATGGCGAATATTGAAATTAATAATTGTTTACAAAATACGACATGTAGTATTATTATCTTACATAGCTATAAATTATACGACCCTAAATAAAAAATAAATATCAAAGGACATTGAAAAATCTCTAAGTATTTGTAAAGATTATACTGAATTTGTTAATATGCAAGACTTACAGCAACTTATTTTAATACAAAAAAGACTGTCGTACCATTGTAATAAACGAATATCTCAATAATTTGAAAGATGAAAGAGTGAGGGATTCGAATGAGGGAACTAGACAGACAGACGGACAGACAAGCTGATGGGCTGATAGATTAATAGACATTATAAAGGAAATGAATATCTCGTTATATATATATATATATATATATATATATATATATATATATATAAGTGTATAGCTATTTGCCGCAAGTTCACTTTGTACTCACCAACTCGGAATCTGTAAAAAGGAAAACTTTTTTGAAAAAAAAAAAAAACATAAAAATAATTGAGATGGAAAAATGTATGAGCAAAGTTACAACTTGAAGAGTGTTAAGCCATTTTTATACTAATAATTACATAATCAGCTAACACTTTTTAAAATTCGACATTCTGTATTATCAGTTTCATGAGGTAATAACTATACATCTAATGAGTAGAATAACATAATTAATAAGCGTATGATATTATGGAGTAATTTTCTTGAATAATAATGAAAATTTGTCTTCTTTTATACCAATCAAAATTAATGCTTCTTTTCTTTTATTTACGTTTTATCCTATTAAAATTGTCAACAATTTAATTTACTTATTTATACGAATAAATAATAATTATAAGAATTATAAGAATTACGTATAAATACGAATAAGCGACTCCATGAAATTATCACTGTAATATATATATTTATATATATATATATATATTTTTTTTTTCATTCAACTTTTTTCTTTTTTTTTTTTTTTTTTGAAGCAGCTGCAAATAATACTTCATACAATATGCTGAGAAATGTAAAATAAAATAATAGAATGCATGAACAAATTTTCAGCAATAATTTGGAAACTCACACGTTTAATTTCAATGGATATATTATGCCATAAATACGAGTTTGTTGAGATTATCCTAAATATGCCAACACAAATGACTGTCTAGTTTTTAATAGTAACTTAAAACTCCTCTAAACTTTAGGATAAAGAATACAGTGAAAAGGCAATTTGATTGAAGACGAAGAGATTTAAATGTCTGTCCAATGTAGAATGGTGACCGTAATGGCTCTCGAGACTTGTAAAATTATTTTTTAAACTACTCGTCGCGTATGGTACAATTTCCACGTGGAAGAGAATTTAGAAAAATTTTCATTGAAAAAGAAAAAGAATAAAAGTCAATGTAATCGTAGACATTATATCATACTTTTATGAATTCATGAAATTTAACAACTGTTCATTTGTTTTAAATAAAAATCTTTTCTAGCAGACACAATATGAAATTTGTTTTTAAAGAGAATTCGTTTATATTTAATAAAGATATTTGTTATAATTGATAAAAAGTCTTTAGAAAAAAAAAGAAATATTAAAAAATTAGCATAAACGCAAGGGCCTAAGTGTGTATATAACATATTTTAGTATTCCCATGTACAATTTATTTCTGCATGTGCACCTTAATAAAAATAACTTCTTATCTTTTATTGTATAAGTGGTTGCATATTTATCTTATCTTATATGTGATTAATGAAATATGAAAATATTGAATAAAAAATTGTTATAAAGAGAATGTGTAATATGGTTTTTATATTATTTATAACTTGTTGCATATAATTTAAACGTATTATTATAAAGGCCAATTAAATTAATTAATAATTTTATTTTCATTTGAAAGAAAAATAATTTCAATTTTATTAATATTCGCATTAAATTTTAATTCAAATAATAATTATTACTGTATATAAAATTAATGGCAATTTAATTATAAAATACTATTTGAACAAATTTAAGCCACAGTTTGAGGAAAAAAATTAATGTTATTAGTGAAGCACTAGAGTTATTAAATAATCTATTGTTTATTATAATTTTTCTAACGAAATATATCCATAGTTGTAATAATCAATAGTAAATATTAATATATATATATATATATATATATATATATAGAATTTTAAGGAAACATTTTAAGAGAGTGATTTTGTAACAAAATTGTTCTTAGAGTACAAAGATATCACAAAATATTATCAACAATGACATATATTTTATAGCATTTTATACATGCGTATTTATGTAGTTGGATGTATCCATTTTGTTAAACGAACCATTTTAACTTTTCATCATTTTTGTCTCATTATTTAATATGCAATTAATTACTCAAATATTCAATTAAATATATTTACTTCCCTTTATAAATAAAATAAGACTCGAGATTATTGTAATATGTATTTAAATTTTGCAATAAATGACCGAATCGAAAATATAGATAATTCAAACATATTTGTTTATGTTACTATCTTTAACATACAAACATTTGCTTTTATTTCATTTACTTTATTTTAACTTTAATATTATATTTATTATAAATTCATAATAATGAAACATTACAAGTTATTTCTGCGTAATTCTAAACCAATGAACCTTTCCCCACTTCCTCGCTTTCGTCTCCTAGTATGTGCTAGGTGCTATCTTTCCAACTTCCTTAACATGGTATACGTCGCGTCCTGTATACAGTCGAACGTACAATCGAGTTACTAACGTATCATCTACATTTCTGTGTTCCATTCACTTGTTGAATAAAAAGTGTTGAGTGCTGACACGTGCTGCTCGAGAATTAAAATGGGAATGCCTTCTAGTAAATTAAAGTCCAGTCGCAGTCAAAGTAAGTAAAAACATCCTCTCACCGATGACTGTATATTTTATAAGACGGGAAATGTGTAAAATTGTGATCGGCTGATTTTTATGTTTCTTTTTTTATGATTTTTTTTTTCTTTTTTTTTTTTTTTTTATGATGAAAATTATTTAGATTCTTTCTGCAACTGATTCGGCTTTAGCGTGTGAAGTTAACTACAAAGTTTCGCTAGGAATTATTTTACAATATTATGTATTTAACGTAAATTTAATACCTTATCTTGCTGAGATGTTAAATGTATCGAGATGCAAAATTAAAATTATCCCTTCTGATAAGGTGTATCAAATACTAATAATACTCATTATTTCGATTATTAATCCTGTGGTAAGAAATTTTAATATTTAAAAAAAAACTTAAGTTTATTCTACATTGAAAGCATGTGAATTGTTTGTATATAATTATTTCACAGCATGTTAAAAATGTATAATAATTATTATAATTTCACAATGTTTTATTGTTACTGGGCCGTTTATTCGATAGACTAAATAGTTTTGGTAATATCTTTCTTACAAAAATTACTTTCACGGCAGAATTTTCGATAAGATGAGAGAGTGCGTTAATTAAAATTTCACATAATAACGGCAAAACAATTTTATTATTGGGCTACGGCCAAAAACTTCTATGCAATCCGGTATTGGCAGATTAATAAATTATGCATTTTCGTGAATTCAAAGGCTTAAATTACCAAAGTAATTGTCAACTATTTTTTATTCATGATATAATGTTTGATTCTATTAACTAAAATTTATTCCTATGATTTCACTATCAAAGCAATAAATCTTTTATTTATATTAATGCTAGGCTATTCTAACAAATTTTCAAATCATTCAAATGTACGTAATGGACTCAAATCCAATAAGGTTTATAAATTGTCAAAATGTGACTTGTGACAACAAATGGATCGAACTAATTAATTTTATAACGAATAATTTATCAATATTATCGTTTCGCTTAGCCACTAAATTCTAATGACAATCAACATTATTATTATTACTTTAAATATTATTAACAAAATTATTTCACCCTACAATTATCATTATAATACATCATACACTAATTGTTAATTTTTTTTTTTTTTTTTTTTTTTTTAGTGGGGGGGGGGGGGGGGGGGGGGGGAGATTTTCAAGATTCAATCAACCGACTGGTAAAGCTTGAAATTGATATATATATATATATATATATATATATATCGAAACTTTTAAATTAATTCTGCCATTCAAAGATTAGTGAAGAGGAATAACGGACAAGTGTACCCATATTATACATACGTCCAATGATCAGTGCTAGAGTCTGCACTGACAGAAAATACCATTGCGTCAGGATTTTCGCAAGACAAAAGCATCCCACTCCGATAACGGAAAATGTCCCAGTCTCCGGCTACAATACGCGACTGCCTATCTTCCCGTATGTAATATAAATCGATGCGGCTTACAGGAAAACATAAGAGATACGAGTAGAACGAAGCTACCGTCAGCAACAGAAGCAGCGGCAACAGCAGCAGCAGCGGGGCAACAGCAACAGCAGCAACAGCAACAGCAGCAACAGCAACAGCAGCAACAGCAGCAACAGCAGTAACAGCAATAAGAGCAACAGTGCCGGTAGCTGCTCTTTACAGTCGTCGTCGTCGTCGTCGTCGTCGTCGTCGTCGTGTGTGTGTGTGTGCGCGCGCGCGCGTGCGTGCATGCGAGCCTGTGTATATAGGAACTAAACTCGCCAATTGCTTATCAGAGATATACTAGTATTACGCAGATATAAGTGTGTCGTGCAAGTTTCTCCATTCATAATCGAGCTGATGAATTTTTTTTTTGCATCTCAGATTTTTTCAAAAAAAAAAGTTGACGATTCATATATCGATTGAGACGCATTATCGAATGCAGAATTATTATTAATAAGCGAAAAGACGGGCAGCAATATTGCGTATAGGATAATTTATTGTACATTATTATACAAAGTACGTCTTATTAAATATATTTAGTATAATGTAAATTTTTTCTTATATATATAGAAATTTTTTGTCTTGACTATAAGTGAGTGCATTTATTGACCTGCTTCGTTTTTTCTTTTTTTTTTTTATATCACTGACATTAATTCATAGTTTCATGTAGGAGACAATTTTACATTTGAAAATTTATTTCCTCGATCAGCGATAGCATCAAGTATTATTAATGATATCACAAAGATGTTGAATAATTTATAGACGTAAATTGTTCGTGTTAAATTGTCTTAATGGTGTGCGCTAAAATGATACTTGCAGGTGTTGATTTGATAAAATATTTCTAAATTAAATTGTCAAATATACACGGAAGCGGTTGGATGTTTTTCATAATCTAAGTTTGCACGAGAAGAATATGTGCGATTTGCTTTTGAGACGCACTTCCGACAGTCTGCACTTGACGCCACTGCATTTCATTGTATTTGTGCATTCAAAAGTCTTGATGAGCGCAGCAGTTTATATATTCTAAAGCTCATTACGTTTCTATTTACGTACGCTTTACTATCATTGTTAATGGATTCATCATTGAACCCGTTATATACTACTGATTCACTTATCATTGTCATTTTATTATCTTCTATGATTCTTGTGAATTTAAAACTTAACAATTAGATGCACTAACGTAAACTTATTACCTTAATATTAATATTTTTAATTTATGTACATTGATTGCAAATTACTATTATCCCATACGATATAACAAACAATGGTCAGATATATCTATATTTAAATTTGATACCTTAGACATACATACGATCTCGGCACTCGGCACTCAGCATTTCTTAATGATGTCATAAAAACTTTTCATTGCCACTCTGGTTTAAATGTGCCATATTTGAATGTCTTTCCGGAATAAATACGTTTCGCCACTCCTTTGAATCACCAAACGGAATCAAAGCTACTAAATAAAAATAATTCAAGTACGAAAAGACTAGCGGTGAGTAATCTTTACTTCGAAGCAATGTTGATACTTTGTTTTTTGTTTTTTCTGTACAAGACTCAGTATGCCGATAATGCCAAAAGCAATGAAAGGAGTAAGACAAAATCTTTTTATCCGATAGAATGCTAAACTATGTGAATTAAATTATGTGTCTCAGGCATAGCATGGGGCTTGAGATTCCCGTCAGCGAACAGTCTGCAGCAGGCGCTCAGTACGAGTCGTCGACGTAAGAAGCGAGACAGCGATATTATCGTTGAGGCCTCGTGCACGAATTCGCAGCAAAAGCAAAATCCGCTGAGTTGGCAGCATTTGTCAGAAATCATCGTCCCCGAGAAAGAGCCCATTTACATCGTGACCGTCGGCTCGTCCAATGACTTTATCACCTCCAGGTAATTGATTGGTAACTCTATTAATTGCCGTTGACCTCGTATGAAGGTACGAATACCTTAAGCATTCGAATAAAAATCCATCTAAACATGCATCCGAATGCAAATGAATCAATGGCCTTCCATTAATGAACAGCTTATTATTTAAAGATATAATTGTAGAATAGTTGATGACGCTTAAAAAAGTATTTTCATTAAATATATTTAAAGGTCTATTCTATGCGCGTTACTTAATATTTAGCGCTAAATTAGTAAAAGTACGATCATTAATATTTAACAAATTTTTTTTGGTTTTGTTTTTTTTTCTTTTCAAAAATAACAAAGTCCTGTGACTATATTTTTTCGCATATAATATAAGCGTGTATTAATCAATCGGAGCATAATTGTTCAATTAGAAATATCCGAGAACAAATACCACTTATATATTTATAAACGTTACAGTTTTTTTTTTTTGTGTACCCATTCGAAAAAGAAAATTAACTAACTGATTTATTATAATTCTAATCTATAATCATGGAGATGTTATTTCATTTTAATCACGTCGATCCTTTTAAAGGACAATATTAGTGAAATTGTTGATGCTATTGCCGAACAGTTTGTAGTATATAATTTCATAATAATTGTATTTCTTCTCTTGTATTATCACAATAGGATGTCTTTAAACATTACCGCTAGGCAAATAATGATTAAATCTTGACGAAACATTTTTCCGATGATTTTCTTTTTTAATTTAATTTAATTTTTAATTGCGATTTATTTTGAAGATAAACGAACGCTTTATTAGCACATAGCCGACTATCAAACTATTTTCTAAATTTACATGAGTAAAACTAAAATGAGTAGGTAAATCATAAAATATATGTCTCTATTATAAATATTATAAAGTATAAGGTACTGATAACTTTTTTTATTAAATCCAATTTGCTAGATTAGAATGTAGTTTATCTATAGATTTACATTTTATTGTCAAGTACTTTTGAATGGCAGATCAACATATATCGATATTTCTATTTATTTATCAAACAATGGCAATATTGTGAATAATACATAAATACTCGTATAAAATTATATAAAATTTTATGTGTTTGTTGAATCACAAATAGACTTAATTTCATTTATATAAGATGGATTTTTATACAGAGAAAAAAGTTCTGTTAAGTATCTACTTTGGACTTATATTAACAATCATTCTAAGGATATAAAACTAAACATCGTTGAAAACACGTACAAGTGAATTATCTTACACAATAATTCATTTATTAAAAGATTTTTATTTGTAATTTCTTACTTAACTAAAATGTTTGTTGAATTTATTTTCAACTACTTGTTTTCTTTTTTTATGAAAGAAAAATGATTATTTTCAGATCGTATAATGAAAGAATTAAACGTACCATTTACAATACGAAAATATAGTTTTTATGATATTTGTGACTAAACCAAATAAGCTTGTGGATAAGAATAATTCTTAAATGATGATAAGTATTGGAAAATCGGTATTGAACATGGATCGATTACTACAGAAAAATTGATAAATATCAGATCCTTGGATAAATAACACTCCCAATTAAAAAAACTTTGTATGCTTTATTTTGATTTGTTTTATAATATAAAATATAATATTTTTTTGTCATCTTAAATAATATATACCCGTTTTATCATATTGTTGAGTTAATGATTGTAAGTGATCGAACTCGTTAAGGATCTCATTAATTTGCACTTCGATGTAGTTCTGCGATTATATAGAATACTAGAGCGAGTGACTCTTATCCATGACACTTTTCATTTAAGATTTAATCAAGTGTAATTACGATAAATCGATTATATAAATTTTACCTTTGTACATTTTTTTTTTTACGACATGCAATATTACATAAAGTAATTATTCATGAAGCGTTAACATAATAAATATTATATATAATAAAATCATCATTAGGCTATTAGTTGTTCGAGTAGATCAATCCCGTGCGTGAAAATAATGGTTTAATTACCATATCATTAATGAAAATAAGCGAAAGGAGAGAGAGAGAGAGAGAGAGAGAGAGAGAGAGAGAGAGAGAGAGAGAGAGAGATAAAGAAATTATTCCGTCATTGTTGCTATTTGAGATGAAATAGAGAAAAGATTTTTTTAATTTATTAAAATTATCTTGGACACATTGGTTCGATGTATCTCCGCCCCCCCCCCTCCCCAAGACCCGCCATCGTCCCCACTGTCAACTTACCGCAGATAAATGAAACCGAAGCCAAATCATTCTTTAATGGCTCTAATCGGCAGCCACATATATGCACTTGCGTATAACGGGCATAAGTGTAGCGTCACGGCGCCACACTCATAAATGCACGCAGGCGCATCCGATGCTCGAAACGTAGCATCTCTTTTCCCATGCACCCTCGACGCCAGCGTCCATCGTACCACCCCCCTCCCACTCCGCACCGCCGCCGCTAGCCCACCGTCATCGCGCCGTACTGTGTGCAAATCAATAATTTCTAAAGGCTATCGCTCTTAAAGGCCGTTCGCAAATGCAGCGTCGTCTCCTCGCATCGTTCTCTTCTCTTCGAAGCTCCACTCCCGAGCACTTGGAATTCGAGAGCGGAGGTAGTATAAAACAAAACGATTGGATGGAAAACTCAACTTGGTCGATTAATAAACATTAGTATTAATGAATTAATGATAAATCACTGGCTTTTAACTACAATCGACGGCTCCTCCATACATTTATTCAAAATTCAACTGCGTTATGACAATATAATCTTAAAAGCTGAAGTTGTTCATTATAATCATTAAGTGGATTTATCGTCTAGGCTTTGGTCCCTCGATACTTATATTTTGTTATACATTCAATTACAAATATTACAAATTGAAAGTCCTATTGAGGAGTATTTAACATGTACATTTGAAACGCGTAGCATTTGATCTCACGCAATATTATTTAACTTAGTTCATTGAATATAAAATCATAACCGTACGATAACCGACCGCGCATTGTATTATTCCGAATGAATATCGTAATGAATGCGGTAGCCCTCGTCGGGTCGACTTTTGCATTTTTTATTATTTTTGGGCTCTCGGGAAAGCGAGTGAGTGCATTGACGCGTCTCGCCAACAAGTGTCGAGATGAATGGTTACGTGTGTTGGAACAACGAGAAAGACATTATTATAAAGACCGTGGGCAGGTGTCAATTTAGACAAAGAGAAATGATAGAAAAGCATGAGAGGGAGAAAAAATTGTGAAGCAAGATGATGGGGCGCAACATGGAAAAGTCGAGGAAGCGCGCGTATACACAAAAGCGGCGGCGGCGGCGGCGGCGGCGGCGGCGGCGGCCGCACGCGGGAGTCTGCCTCATAGTAGACAAACAATGAAGCGGTGAAAGGGAGCAAGATTCTTTGGGACAAGAGCGAGAGTTGCATGGAGCAGACAGCAGTCACGGCGGTTATTTATAATGAAGCACGAGGCCACGACGATCTGTATCACGATCAGTTAGGCGCCCGTCGCAGTTTAATCCTTGCGCGCATCTCGGGCTGCGCGCGAGACTTTTTAAACAACTCCGGGATTGATTCGCGCCACACGGGTCTACGGGGCCTCGAATCCACATTATCGTCCTGTAATCTCTTTCTTCGCCAACACTCTTGAAACGTTAATGCTTCGCCTAGTCGCTGATAAGTGATGATCGTTCGATGATGTTTGTTTTTTCATTTTAAATTTAAGTTTCGTCGTTTAGACGCGCTGAACGGAGAAGAGAGGATCTTTCCTTAGATTTTAGCACGCATTGCTTAGCTTCAAGGACTATAGTTAGTTGCGTTGCATTAATGAAAGACAGTGGCGTCGGTGTAATATGTGCGACTGACGATAATACATGAGATTTTGTAAGATTTTCTAAAATTAGGCTATCGAGAGCTTTGGGGCCGAGAACGTAATATTGCTTGGTAATGGACGAGAGTGTCGGTAAATGGGGCCTGAAATGAAAATAATATCATGCCCCAATGTGGCAAACTACTGAGAGCGTATAAATTCAATTTGAAGCTCGCGCTGAAATAGTAAAAAAAGTTAAGCGAATGACTAGGTGGAATGAAAATACGAATTGCAATGAGAATTGTAAAGCCCCGTAATGTCGCTCCCCCCCCCCCTCCCCGCTCAGTGCCACCACCCGACCGCCCCTCAGCCGTAGCTCAAGTCAGCCTCGAGTCGAATCGCCTTTGTAATGGAATAAGCGGCGCGTACGGGCGCTCGCATCAAGTGAGAAAAGACCCCCCCGGGAGAAGTGTGCGAAGGGTACCGACCGAGGGAACCGAGGGCGTTGGGCGTCGATAGGGACGTCCCTGGCTCTCGACGCGACGACTATTGCGCTCGCGCAGCGCAGTCAGGGTGCGCGCGTCCACAGGGCCAAACCCTGTTGTCCCCTCCTTGCGTCCGACTGCCGGTGCTGTCTCATACCGTCTCGGTGCCGCGGCCGCGGCGTACGTGGAGTTGCGAGGACGAGGACACCGAGGCCGCCGCCGGTTGGTGGTGGTGCTGGTACTGGTGACAGTGGTGGCAGTGGTGTCAGTGGTCGCGGGGGTGGCGGTGGAGGCGGTGGTGGCGGTGGTGGCAGTGGTGGCGGCGGTAGCGGCGGTGGCCGTTACGCTAGCGCTGGTGGGATCTGGCCGGGTCATGCCGGGCACTACGGTCCTCGATTCCGCCTAATCCTGGCATTCTGCGTGCACAGGCTCGTCGGGCCGAAGGATACCCGCGGGATCAGCTCCGGCGGCGACCACGCATGTTCCACCGAGGAGGCGCCGACCGGACCGAGGAGCCCGGCCTCCGGCTGCTCAACTCCTCGAGCCAGTATGGTGAGTTGGTTGCTTTGGTTGCTTTGATTGCTTAGCCCCGGTGCGCGCCTACCTTGCCCAAGCAAACCTCTTATCCCTTCGTTATCACTGCTACTCCGTTAAAAAGCAAAGGCTCGCCAAGGCTCGTTTCTACCGTCGTCCCATACTATCCTCGCCCAGCCTAACGCCCATAACCCGCTTCTCCCGCGCACTCCACTTTGTTTGATCCTCCCTTTTTAATTGATTTTCTTTCTATTCTTTGAGTCGGAAAACATTACGGATCGAACGCATATTTTCTTCAATTATTTGCGGCCTGTGTTAATCCAGCCTTCTATCTCTTATTAAATCAAATGAAAGCAATATCCTACGGCGTAGTGTAATATGAAACTTACCGTTTGTAGGGTGAAAATACATGTAGAAAAATACGTGTTCTGACTTTATAGGTAAAATGTTATGAAAGTATCGTGTACGGGGATCATTATTTCATAAGACATAATTCGATACTTAAAAGTTATTGTATCGACCGGCATATTGAACGCAAAGCGAAGAGAACAATAAATTAATCGAAGAATTCTATTTATTGAAAATGCAAACTTAATCACAACGCGATTGATCAGAATCTTCACATGAATACATCAGAAATTCATCAAAATTAAAACTAAATTAAAGTAAAATTGACGAGGGTATAGAGTAGCTTAATTGAAATATTGAATAATCAGAAATACTGTATTTTAATATTTAGATTTTTAAATTCGCTACACAGCCGATATGGTGGAAATATTCAAGCAAATAAGTGAAAGATACAATTATGAATTATGTCGAATCTTGAAATAATGTTGTCCCTTATTTATTAATTGTTTCGTAATTAATTGATAATGCAAAAACTAATTCGTAACAGTACGTTTTCACCGACTAAAAAAGTACTAAAACTATACAATGAAAATATTGTTATCCTCAATGGTCAATCGTCAATCGATAAACGGTAAATTATATTAGTTTATTATAAAAAGTAAATAATTAGTTATAAAGTTGCATATGTGTGTGCGCGCGCGCGTGTATGTAACGAGAATATATTATTCCGATAAAACAAGTAATTGAAAAATTGAATTAAATATTGATAGTATGTAGAAAAAAAAATTTGTAAAATAAATTTATCTTGTTGCCAAAAATCTTTCGATCATAATCACGTGAATGCTGTATAAGTTGGCAAATTAAAGTTACGGAATTTGTAACGTATGGAACCAGATAAATTCATTCCGTTTAATAAAGATTGTGAAATTCCAACTCCATTAGTACTCAGAAATCAAGTGGCTCTAGTGATTTTTGTTTAATTCGACGAAATATTATTTCTTGCACCAATTTACGGGCTGACGACGATTCATCATTCGTCATCCTGTATAATTGTAATTGATTAAAAGGCAGACAAGCGTGAAGGCCTAACTGACAGTCTGTACTCTCGCACTAAAGCAATTATTATCTGAACAGCGGTACCCATTCGCCCGTTTTGAACAATGAGTTCATGTCTCCACCGAGACTGTATGCGTTAAACCATTATCAATATTGCCAAAATTTTTAAATTCAGTCATTATTAGTAATTTGCTTAGTAGTAGTAGTAGTAGTAGTAGTAGTAATAGTGGTAGCAGTATAAGTAGTAGTGATAGCTTTATAATTTAAAAAAATTCAAGTTCAATGTACGTATGTATTAAATGTTATACCGCTATACTACCGTACAATATTGCATATAATTAAATGTCAAAACTTCTTTTCTCATTACGCTCTTTGTGAATTGAAAGATTTTAATACTTTGTTAATGTAATATTTCGTTCATTATTTTATCCTAATGATTTCATTTTAGATTTATTTAATTATGAAAGCTGTGAAGCTACCAATTATTGGTAAAAAATAATTATCTTTTTAAATTATTTAATTCAAGCAGTTTATTTGCTTCATTCGCTACTTTATACATACATTGAGCTTATAGTCGCGACAGTTAAAAACACTAATTTTATTAAAATTTACGTAGGTTGGAGAATATTAATAATTTTGTATCAAGAGTAAAATTTGCATATACCAATACTCTTCATATTTTTTTTTTCTCAATACGACATATTCGGCATAATATTAAATACAATACAAATATAAACATAAACAGTCGCAGGAGCCACCTCAGGAATCAATTCGGAAGCTCTTGGAGCGCGAGCTTAGACTTTTCGATCTCATTGATCCACGCGATCTTCGTTCCTATGCTTGGTATCACGGAAGCACACTGCCTGGTGGTCGCAAAGGCGCCGAGAACGAAATTCCGAACGATGGAGACTTCTTGGTGCGTGATTGTGCCAGTCAGCCGGGTAACTATGTACTTAGTGTCAGACACAAGGGACAACCTCTGCATTTCGTCATCAACAAGGTACTTATATACATTTATATATATATATATATATATATATATATATATATATATATGCACATAAATGTATATATAATTCTTATGTATTTATTTATTTATATTTCTTGTTATAAAAATGGTATACAGATGAATAGATATACAAAAATGGATTGATAGAAAGATAGTTAGACAGATAGATAAATAGACGTCAGAGAGAGAGAGAGAGAGAGAGAGAGAGAGAGAGACAGAGAGAGAGACAGAGAGACAGACAAACAGACAGACAGACAGACAGACAGACAGACAGAGAGAGACAGAGAGAAAGTTAAATGGATATAAAGGATTTTTAAGCATTGCCTCATAAACAATTGAAATATCTTTTATGATATTAAAAATAATCTTTGCAATATTCCATTTTTTTTTTATGACTTTTTTTATTAACATTAAATTTCACTATTTTTAAACATTATTCTTTTCTTTTCCTCATTATTCTTAGTACCGTACTTTTTAGAATATTTCTTTAGGCATGATAAAAAGAGTACTCGAGATAGAATAAGAAATAAATAAAATAATTGGCATTATAAAATACTTATCATCTCTGCATTAGGAATAAATTGAATAATTATTTATGTATAATCAGCAATCAATTATTAAGCAATTTTAAAGATTTTTCCTAATAAAATATTTTTTATTTTGCATCTTTAATGTTTACCAAATATTTTTCACACAATTAAGATACAGTAAATTTATTAAACATATTGGATTATTACCTTTGAATGTATACAAATATATAGTGACTTGAATGAGTTATTTTACAATTTTCACTACTTTGTCTTTATTGTAGAAAACGAAAAAATGAAAAACAGGAAAAAGCACACTAGCCTACGTACGATCACTATAGATAGATGATCGATAAGTCGCAAAAGAATATTAATAAATATTAATAAACTTCGAGAAATTGTTGTAAAAGTTAGGTAAATTTTAAGAATTTTTATCATTCCTTGTTGCGGTATGGATATAGGCGAGATATCTTCATTTCAGCTTATTTTGCAACCTGAAACAGTGTACGAGCGCGTTCAATATCAATTTGAGGACGAGGCTTTCGATACCGTTGCGGACCTAATCACCTTCTATGTCGGAAGCAAACGTCCAATCAGCCAAGCGAGCGGTGCACGCATAATTAATCCTCGGCATCGGAAAGTGCCTCTATCGATGAGCTCCGGCATTATCGGACCTAATGCTAGTTTCTCTCCTTCCTCGCTCTCGGCGACCACACGATCTCCTATCAGAGCACTTCGCAAGAAGGAAAGAAGCCAATCATTAACACCCTGTCAGCATTATCAAAGTCCTCCACCTCCGCAATTGGTGCCACTTCATCATATGTCGCAGTTACATTCGAGTACTCTGCCTAGAATACCATCGATATCTAACAATCAGACTCTCTCGTGCTCCCTTTCATTGGGTCGTCAAAAGATCACTAGGGTAATTTCCGATCCCGTTCTTAAGTTTCAACAACTACAGTTACAGCATCAAAGACAGACGCAGCAGCAGCAGCAGCATCAACAGCAGCATCAACAACACGTAATTACAGATGAACCGCATTACCAGATACCCAAGAATAACTCAGCTGTTTTGCTAGCAGGATCAACTGGAAGTGGATCCTATGATCTACCTCCGCCAAAGCCTCCTCGAGTGCCCAGGCACTTAAAGCCTCCACCCCCGCCACCCTATCCCTTTCCGCATCATCATGCCCATGCTCATCATTCGCATCAAACGAAACCTCATCAAGCCTCGGGTAGTGATAGCGGAAACGGCTCTGGTGATAGCGAATTTGAGGCCAGTGCCGCAGGAGCTTGCGCTTTGCCGATGCAACCGGCTATGAAAGGTATCATCATTCGAAGCTATCATCAAGCTAAAGCTTTAGGTCTAAGTGATATCGATATTAAGAAGTGGGAAGAAATGGAAAGGAAAATAAGTGAAACTGCTCCAAACTATGAGATGCCTACGTCTTTCGATCTAGAAAACTTTAATACATTATTGCTGCCGACGGTCGAGCACAAACCTCTGGATGCCACAGCTCTAAAAGGAGTTACAGGGATGCTGCACGAAACAGCCTCACGAATCTTAGCTTCGCATATTACTAAGATCGACGTGGATATGTTACTTAAGGTAAATTAATGCAAAATTTTCACGCAAAAGCTCGGTCGATATTTACTCGACTAAATTTATTATATTTATCATGTTTTTTTTTTTGTTTTTTTTTCTTTTTTTTTTGTTTTTTTTTTGTTTGTATAAGTGCTTAAACAAGCTTATCTCAGCGTAAAAAATCATATTTTCTGTTAAAAACAGATTGTAATGTGTTATTAAACAATCTTATACGTAAATACCATTCGAAATAATAAAATATGACTATCTCATTGGCATTCCTTCATATGCATAATCAAACAAAATGACGATATTTAAAGATTTTTTCTTAATTATATATATTAAAAAAAAAAAAAAGAGAGAGAGAGAAAAAAAGAAAAAGAAAAACATTTTTTAATCGCACGTTACTACGTAATGTCACTGTCAATGTTGTAAATGTATATTATTGTAACGTAAGGTTTACGTTACGGAGGATCCACCGAGCATTCGAGAGGGCTTGTGCGGCTTAGAACTGTTGGTGCTGCCTTACGCGCATCAAACTCGGCTCGATGTGATCGAAAGGACCGAGTGCATGAAGCTGCTGGTTGCAGTGACAGTACTGACTTGTCCGACCCCCGCGGAGAGAGCACTGATGATTAGTCGATGGATCCAAGTGGCGATCGACACAAAAACAGCTTTGGGAAATCTTTTCGGCTTCTGCTCGATCATGCTAGGCCTATGCCTCCCGCAAATCCAGAGGTTAACCGATACTTGGCACTTGTTAAGGCAAAAGCACACCGACGACGCATTTACCTTCGAGGCCAAGCTTCGGCCCACATTACGTGCGATGAACGAGTGCACGGATCCACAGGCACCGAATACGACGCTCCCTCACATTTTGCCTATTGCCCTGCTCAATGAGCGAACCCACGATGACGTCATAGGTCTGTCTTTACTTCCTTACGTTTCAACTTAACTCTAGAAACAATAGATGCAGTCGTGCTCTTTTAACACAATTTTATCGAATTAGTCGCCTCTTATAAGTCAATAAACTGTCGTTTCGTCCAAACTTTGCTATTCTAAATTAACTGCACAGCTTACGGATATCTATTTAGCCATGTGAAATATTTTACTTTTTTTCGTTCTTTCTTTCTTTCAAAATATTGCCTCGATAATATCGTTAAATGTAACTTCAAATCTTCTAATCGCAGCCGTTCGATAGGAATAAGCCAAATCGACCCACCTCATGCTTATAAATTGTTGTCGAGCACCTAGCAATATTATTGTTTTCTCGCTACATCACGGTCAACGGACTCCAGATTAATCATAAAATTTCTCTTGCTGTAATTATTGGTTCAGGTAATACACCGCCCTCGGCATTGGCAGCTGTGGTACTATCGCCTTGGGAAAATTCTGCAGCCGATTGCGGTCTATCGATCATGTGGGCCCACCTGGAGGCATCGCGCAAAATGACCGACAATCTTACACACTTTCGACGCAACGCCGAAATCGCTCTAGAAGGTTGTCGACACGACGAGTTATTAAGCGACGCTTTTCGTACTGAATTTCACATCAAGTTCCTCTGGGGCAGTCGGGGTGCTCTCGTTGCCACTAACGAACGCCACGATAAGTTCGTCCGGGTTCTTGATGCTATGCACGATAAGTGTGCAACCACCGAACAGACCTAATATGATAATTCATTTATGAGTAAACGGTGCTTGAAGTTCGACGCACCTTTTCACTTGAAATCATTTTACGTATGCATAACGCAGTGGATAGTTTTTTTCGAGCAAACTTAAAAATAGCTACACAGGTTAAGCGTACGAAATATTAAACATAATTGTGCTCCATCGAAAATATCAATATTTTCAGGAATAAAATTTACCAACATAATTGTAAGTTGTAACATTAAGCGATTAAAGAAATAGAGAAAGAAAAAAATCAACAATTATTAGTCTTCTAGAAATTATTCAATTTATAATATATTGTATACAAAATCCATATGCGTATGGTAGTAAAATATATTATTAAAAAAGCAAAGCTTATTCAATGAATAAATTTACTCTAGAATGTTTTTTTTTTTTTTTTTTTTCTATAACGGATTTAACTGTAACGGATATACGAATTTAAAAAATTTACAAACATTTGGAAAAGAAGGTCGTCTGTCAACATCAAAATTATATAACGTATGGATTTACAATTCACAATCTCGTTATTGGTAAATAAATTTAAGTTAAATTTTAATTAAATTCAAATAAAGTAGTTAGTAAAATTTTCAAACAAAGTTTATATTGCAGTTAATATTTAGCAATCAATAATAATCATCAAAAATAACTTGGTTTGTGGAAAATCGTATATATGTGTATATATATATATATATATATGTGTGTGTGTGTGTGCGTGCGCGCGCGCGCGCGATTTTGAAATCAAAAGAAATATATATATATATATAATTGAAAATTAAAAATTCGTAAGTAAATAAATACATTTATTATAATTGCTAGCGCAATTTCAATTTAATCAGTAGTTTTTAATAAAAATGAAAATCAAATGCCTAATTAAATCAAACTCCAATAAATAAATAATTTCATTGATGAATGCATTTATTAAGCTATTATTTTCATAGTTTCGATTTACAATTTCTTTCAATTCTTTAACGAAGATCAATGAATTATGTTTCGTTACTTCCATTCGTGTAAAGCTGATTATAAAGCGCAATTTATATATAAAGCTGGTTTTGTACACATAACGTAATAAATAAATTAAATGATAAATAAAAATACGTACCATAAAAACTTTGCACAAATATAAAAAAAAGGCCAAATACAAAGTATCATAATATCAGCTTATTATATATATTTTTTCAAAATTTCTATCAGAACATAATTTTACAGAAATTTTGCAAATAGTTATTTACCGCAGAAGACAAATGCATTATCCGGAATATATAAGCATTGTCTATATCAGCATATGTCTTCTATTAATATAATATATAAAGTGAGCACAAAATATTTAAAATCGAAATTTTAGAAGCTTATAAGTCTAATTGAAAAAAATGAATTTAGGTACTCCGTATACAATAATTCTTTTGTAGAATTAAGTTTTATTTACTTGTGCAGAAGCGAGTGAATTGTTAATATTAACATTACAATTATTTATAAAAACAGATAAGCTGTAGTTTTCATTTGTGAAACAGCACTATTATAAATGTTTGATTTTCTGTATTCAATATATTTGTAAATATTTATACGAGACTTTTTCATAAAAATATAAAATATCTTAATAAATAAATTTAAAATATAAATAAAAAAACTTTTACATCAAATAATATTCAGATTTTTTATAAACAATATGGAAATGGCGCAATTTTCAACGGTCTTAATTATTACTTTGCGTGAAACATTTATTCCAATATGTGATTTTTCAGATGCATTTTGTCCTAAGTGCAGTTATTACGTGATTAAATCATTTCACGTTTTTCGAGTGATTTTATATTGAAGGCATAGATTCGTAATACTTATATTTATATTATTATAATGAGTCGCGACAATATAAGAGAATAATATAAACAAGCATCTAAAAGCGAATAAAATTTATAGATGAAACGACGTGGGAAAATTTAATAAAGAGGTAAAAACTGCGGGAACGTCACCAGAAATGTATACCAACTGTACTTAATTAAATCATTGAAAAATTATAATTAATTAGACTATTATGTACATTATTATATGACCAATATTGTATGTTGTACCTGTTGTTCATGTTTGTTCATAACCTATAAAACGATGAATAAGATTCCCATTAGTTGTCATTTTCTATCATCCGTTTCATTTCTTTATCTTAATTAATTTTATCATTAAATCTTTTTAATACAATTTTTATACAATTTACATTATTCTTATTTGTATCGTAAACAAAATACATTTACGAATATAATGACAATATATGTAATACTAACTTCATCCATTACCCTACTCTTCAATATATTTAAAATGAAATTAACATTATAAAATGAGATTAAAAGTATCGATACTATATTGAAATAAATTTTTGAACCTTTCGAATATTTCACTTCTAACAAGAATTCAGTTAATATTAAATTGTAAATTGATGTTTCCATTCGTGTTGCATGCATATATATTCTTGTCCCTTACACTAAGATGCTAAAAGAATATAGAAGTAAAATTTATAGAGATAAGATATCATAATAAAAAATTAAAAATTAATTTATAATCATCTTATTTTTTATAATTTCAGTACAAAACTTATTAAGCATTTAGAGAATTAAGCTTAATTAACAATAATTTCCAAAAATATATTATTACGGTAAAAAAATGTGTTTGTCCTTAGCTTCGTTTAAGCATAATTAGAACTGCTGTACAGCATTTTATATTTATTAGTCTTAATTCTGAATTTAATCATTTTTTAATCATTAGCCTTAAATTTTTAATCTTTGCTTCAGTCAAAGGTATATCTTAGTATGTATCAGCAATATTATGATTAAATTTTATAGATATTGAGTCTAATGTTATATTTGTTTAATATTTAATTTATACAATTTATCATCATAATGAAATAAAAAATAAAACATAATTTAATTTTTCTCTCATTTTTCTCAATTATACTACACTGTATTAAAACAATAAGCTAACTAAAAAATGTTATTTTCTATTATGTATAATTTAATTATAATTATTATTATTCTGACAAGTTTCATAAAATATTTTTTCATACAAAATGCATTTCAAACATCAAATATGAAATATCTTCAGCGTTATTAAGAAGAAAAATAAAAAAATCAAAATATCTTAAAAATAACATGTAAAGATACAAATAATCAAAAATATAAACTATGATATAATGTTCATTGCGTATTATATAATAAGTCATTATCAGTTTTTAACCTCTAACGTTTAATAATAATTCTGTAAATATTATTTTAACGTTTCGTTTTAACATATCATTCGAATTAAATTAGTCATTTTAAGCACAAAATTTCGCTTTATTTAAAATACCACATTATATTAAATGAATTTTCTTTCCAAATTAGCCTTGAATAAATTAAACTAAATTGGTTTTATTAGTGTTTCACATAATTTTATTTAAACTGTACATTATTTTATTACATTAAATTCGAACTACCCAAAAAACTTGTAGTTATATGATAATGAAACGGTTAATGATATTTACGATGCCGATGATTCTTGATACGTTTATAATTAATTGCATAACTGAAGGTCATTGCACCAATTAATAAATGATAAAGAGGAGCCATTCCAGTGCGCTTAGGTTGAACGTATTTCATTTGCCAACGCCACCATGCCCTTGATATAGCAGCAGTTATTGCTGGTGGAGAATATTTACGTCTGGATAACCAAGAACCAAGATCGCTAAGCTTTACATCTCCGAACGCTGTATCTTCTACAATATAATATGCAACCATTAAGCCTTATAATTATAAAGTTTGACGTTTTATCAATATGTATAACCTAGAGTGAAATTATTTTTGGCACGTTAAGCCAGATTGTATATCTATAAATTTTACATAAGCTACTAAGGATAGCACGATTAATGCCCTAAATTTATATAGAAATTATACATTATTATTACTCAAAAAGACCAATGAATAATTTCATAAATTAAATTAATAATTTAATTCTTTATTTTCTTACTTGGACCATAGTATACTGAAGGATCATAACGTCCATGCACACTTGGATTATATTCTTTAGGATAGTCACCAAATCCCATTTTTCGAACGATGAGCGTACTTTTACGATTGTATTCGGTTAAAAAATGTATTCGGTTGTAAACGTTATGTGGACATTGAATTTGTCTGAAGTCGAAAGAAAATTCTTATATAACCAAAGTATATAAGTTAAGACTACACTTATGTGGAAAATTAAATGACATTTAGTGACTAGAAGAGTTCTACATTCTAGAATCTCGACATCTATACCCCGAGCATTAATTCGAAAATCGCATGCGCACAAACAGCTAAAGCTTATTGGCCATTTTAAGTAGCAGACGTACATAAGCGGAGAATATAAAGCTAATGAAGGACAATGAGGAGAAAACAATATGTTATAAGAATAACATCATGTATGTAATAACAATGCTATAAAAATCATTAAAAGGATTATTATATTATAAAATACGCGTCATATGTATTTTCGATTTGCGCACTTTACGTATACAAGTTTGTCTATACAAATTTATATATGGAAGCACCAATGAGGATGCACTTTCCTAATGAATTTTTTTTATAATTTCCAGACACGTTTCGTATAGAGTATGCACTGATAAAGATAGCTGCGTGTCTCCGCCATTTTAAGCGCATTAAATCCAAAGTTTTATGTTAATTTTTCGTAATGTCTTAGATTACATGAAAAGTAAAATTAGACAGTGTAATGAATGCTTTAAAATATTTTAGAAAATTTAAGGTTATAAGTCAATAATGCAAAAATACGTAGGAAATATTAGGAAATATTTCCCAATAAACGTATCTTTATTTATCTAAAAAATGAATATTGGTATTAACCAATTGATTAATTGTTTCATGATGTTAAAGAAATTTACATTCTCCCTACGAAATCTTGAAAATATTAATAATTAAACAATTTTTAATATTTATTATTATTATAAGATGATATTATATGTATATTATTATATAATAGAACATTCTATTAAGAATATTTGCAAATAGATTTATTATGTTCTTATGTGTAAGTTTAATGTACTTTGATACATATTTTTTTGTAAAAGCAGATAAATATGTATCTATACGAATAAAATCATATTAATTAAAATATATAAAACTAAAAGTACTATTGACATTAATGAAACAGTCAATTTCATCGATAATTACAATTTCACTTTTTTATGTAAAATAGTAAGATTCGTATTATATATTAATAATAGGAATTGGAATAATACTTTCATTTTGCTTATATATTTGAATTATTTAATTATAATTATCATTATGGTATCGTGGCCATTTTTTATTTTGTTTAAACTTATTGATATTATTTATGTTTATACTAAAGTAATTAAGCAAAAAGAAATTTATTTTATTTAAATAAAATCAATGATATTTTCCATATCATTCTTATCACGTAGGCACAATTCGGTATATAAGCTGACGCGAATTTCTGTTCAGATTAACGAATGAACTTTCATCTCTTAGTTTGCATTTATTAATGCCTTAGTTAACAGTAACTAGTAAGATTTTTATTAATATATTATTTATCAACTAATATAGCACTATCTAAAGTTACATAAATAAAGAACAATAAATACGATTTATAATCTCTGTATGCTACTGATTACCACAGAGGCAGACATTTCTTTTGTTCTCCAATAAACTGGTTGCATGTATTATTTTAGTAATTTATAATTAAAGTGACATTTATACATTACTTTTTCATATGATAAAATGTCATCTTTTTCTGTAATTCCAAGTATTTCTCGACTGTCAAACATAGTTATCAGGATTCTAGGATGCAATCCTGGGCCGATGACTCTGCAAGGGACAAATACTTATCTTGTTGGCAGCGGTTGCAAGTAGGCAAACATTATGTAATTGTAGGAATTTTTTTTATATTTAACGCTTATATTTAATAATTGAATTTCTAAATTGAAGTGTTTGCATTGATTCTTGATAAAAATAATTTAAGATTATTTTCTTATGAAAATAATGATAATTAATAATGAACTATTAATTATTAAGAAACATATGTCTTTGACATTTGAAACATTTGACTATGTTATTTGTAATGTTATTTAAATATCAAATTCTTTCCAAAATTGTAGAAAATATTTATAGTAATGAAAAATAAGTGTTTATAATTTTTTAAAATAAACATGAAATTATTCCATATAACTTCAATGATTTAGAATTTATTAAATTTATAAAATATTAAATACACTAATTTTGTTTTTAACAGCATTTCTAATTTCTATTTTCATATTTTAGAGGTATAATAATTAAAATATTGACTGGCACATTACTAACAATTTATTTTATTTTCTTAACTTTTTCATTATTTCAAATGTATTAAAAAATGAAATAATCATATTAAATCCTGAAATAATCAAATTAAATCTTATTCATTCCGTAGAAGAGTATTAATTGATTCAGGAGATACTCACACTGCAAAGCAATATATAACTCATCTTAAGCAGATACTTACCGAAGAAAATGCAACAATCGAACATTTGATATTAACACATTGGCATCATGATCATGTAGGCGGAGTGTTAGAAATACAAAATGAATTAAAATCTTTGAGCTCAAAACAAGCGATGGTTTGGAAATTTCCACGATCGATTAACGATCCAGGAGGCGAAGAAGAAGAAAAATTTCTTGGATCTTGGAATTCTTTGAAAGTAAGAGTTCCTTCGATATAATCAAAAATTCTTTTTTTTTTAATTAAATTTAACATTATGATCAGTTTAAATATCAGTGGTTATAATAATCTTAAATAACATTGTTTGTTGATCATATCAAATAGAAAACAGTCAAATCATAAAAATGTGTCAATTTTATTTTAAATATATAGAATTTTAATTATTTTTATATTTTATTATATTTATAAAAACTTGTGCGTTTAACTTACTGTTATACACAATATTATATTTTAGAATATTATAACAATATTCTCATACTTACTTAATTGTATATAATTAATAAGTTTTCATTTTGTATATTGTTCTAGATAAAAATTTTTCTTTCTTATGTAGATAGAAAAAAAAAAAAAAAAGAATTATATACAAACAAATATATACAATTTGAATATATACAAATAAATAAAATAAATTACAATAATAAATATTTTATTAGTATTACATAATAAATAAAATGTTATTTTTTATATATAAATTTATCTTTTCTATTCAATTTTTTAAAGCACATTTAATTCTTTTAAATAATTGTTTCTATTGATAATGTAAATATTTCAGTTTCAATTAAGTGCTCAAGTAACTGTAATTGAAATCGAATATCATATATTAGTGAATTCAATTGAAGAAACTATAATGAAAAATTTTGATTTATTCAGCCTTTTAAAACATTTCTATTTGTATTGTATTTGTTGTCATATAATAGAACAATGTAAATGGATTTAAATAAAGCAGATAAGAAAGAGTCACAATCACTTACTGCGTATGATAAATTATCGATTATATATTAATTATTAATTTTAAAAATGAAATACACTATTTCTCAGAAATAAATTATAAATATTTTAAAATAATTTCTGTACAATGACAATGTATGTAATTGATTTAATTAATTAAATTTAGATTTTAGAAAATCTAACGATATTCTAGTACAATTTTAATAACATTGATAATAATATATTGCTTTATTAAATTACGTTCATATTATTTATTACTCAATCAATTACATTTCTCATTGTCAAAATTTTATCCAGTAACATGTAACGAAGAAGATTTGCATTCACAAATTTACAGTAATACTGTATTATCATTACTATGATAATGATTAATATATAATTGTCTTAATAAATGAAAACTTAATTACATAAGATTTTATTTAATATTACATTAGGTGAATTATTCAAATATTTGTCCAATTAATAATAAAATGTCTCATTTTAATGTAGATTCTTTAGCAGATTTCTTGTATAAAAATTTATAAATGACAATTGCAACATTGTCAAGTTATATGAATATATGAGCATATTAATAATTTTTATAGTATACGTAGAAGAGCCCTAATTTTGCATAAATGTTGTGAGCTGTTTACTAAAGTGCTGCACGTGATAATAAGAAATTTTGTAAATTATAACAGCTCTAGACTCGAACATAATGCAAATCAATATTCAGCATAAATATTTTAAATAAAGGTGATTTTAAAAGATTATAATTTAAAATGACATTTTTGAGTAATGAAAATTAAATTTTTTCAAATATTTACATAGAATTGAAAGTAAAATTAAACTCACATTGTAGCGATAATAATAATTACTGCCAGTGAAGTAGAAACTAGTAAAATTTTATTAGAATCTATAAACTCAAATAATTTATAAATGACAACTGCATTTTTACGAGCCCAACTGATTGTAATATTTGTTGTAATAATACTCAAAGGATAAGCAATTTATTGAAGTAGAGGGAGCACACTTGAAAATAATACACACACCAGGCCACTCGACAGATCATATTTGTCTCTTATTAGAAGAAGAACGCGTGCTTTTTAGTGGTGATAGTGTCCTCGGTGAATCTTCAGCTGTTTTCGCTGATCTGTCTGACTATCTG